GATTCATTGTTTGCATATAACACCCAATGCTCCATGCAAAACATGCCCTCCTTAATACCCATCACCAGGCTAACCCATCCCCCACCCCCTCCCCTCTAGAACGCTCAGTTTGTTTTTCAGAGTCCATAGTCTCTCATGGTTCGTCTCCCCCTCCGATTTCCCCCCCTTCATTCTTCCCCTCCTGCTATCTTCTTCTTCTTCTTTTTTTTAACATATAATGTATTATTTCTTTCAGAGGTACAGGTCTGTGATTCAACAGTCTTACACAATTCACAACGCTCACCATAGCACATACCCTTCCCAATGTCTATTGGGACCCCATCCCTCCCAACCCCCACTATTCTAGCAACCCTCAGTTTCTTTCCTGAGATTAAGAATTCCTCATATAGGGCGCCTGGGTGGCTCAGTTGGTTAAGCGACTGCCTTTGGCTCAGGTCATGATCCTGGAGTCCCTGGATCGAGTCCCGCATCGGGTTCCCTGCTCAGGAGGGAGTCTGCTTCTCTCTCTGACCCTCCCCCCATCTCATGTGCTTTCTCTCTCTCTCTCATTCTCTCTCTCTCAAATAAATAAATAAAATCTTAAAAAAAAAAAAGAATTCCTCATATACCCCTTCACTTTCAATCTGTATGTGTCTTTAGGTCTGAAATGAGTCTCTTGCAGGCAGCATAGAGATGGGTCTTGCTTTGCCATCCATTCTGTCATCCTCTGCCTTTTGATTGGAGCATCAGTCCATTTACATTCAGAGTAATTGTTGATAGATATGTACTTATTGCCATTTTGTTACTTGTTTTTATGTTTTTTGTAGTTCTTCTCTGCTCCTTTCTTCTCTTGCTTTCTTCTCTCATGGTTTGCTGGTTTTCTTTAGTGAAATCCTTGGATTCCTTTCTACTTTTTTTGCATATCTATTACTGGTTTTTCATTTGCGGTCACCATTAGGTTTGTATATAACACCTTTTGCATATAGCAGTCTATATTAACTTGTTGGTCCCTTAAGTTTGGGACCATTCTTTACTCTTCTCCCCCTCACATTTTAGGTATATGGTGTCATACTTTACATCCTCTTATTTTGTTAATACCTTGATTGACATTTACAGATATACTTATTTTTACTGCTTTTTTGTTTCCTGCATTTGTTACTCCTCTCTATGGTCTTTCCTTTTTACTCAAAGAGTCCCCTTTAACATTTCTTGTAGGGCTGGTTTAGTGGTCATGAATTTTTTTTTTTTTTGACATTAAGAGGATGTGTATTTATTTACAAACACATAGTAGGAAAAAAGATCTAAGTCACTAGATGTAAGGACACAGGTTCTCTTTTTTTTTGTTGCTGCTTTTTTTTTTACTCTGAAATATAGTTGACATAATATTATGTTAGTTTCAGATGTACAACATAGGGATTCAACAGTTATATACATTACAAAATGCTCACCATGGGCGCCTGGGTGGCTCAGTTGGTTAAGCGACTGCCTTCGGCTCAGGTCATGATCCTGGAGTCCCGGGATCGAGTCCCACATCGGGCTCCCTGCTCAGCAGGGAGTCTGCTTCTCCCTCTGACCCTCTTCCCTCTCGTGCTTTCTATCTCTCATTCTCTCTCTCTCTCTCTCAAATAAATAAATAAAATCTTTAAAAAAAAAATGCTCACCATGATCAATGTAGTCACCATCTGTCACCATACATTATTACAATATTATTGACTATATTCCCTTATGCTCTGCCTATCATCACCATGATTTATTTACTTTATAACTGGAAGTTTGTGCCTCTTAATTCCCTTTAGTGGTCATGAATTTAACATTTTTTTTTTTTGGTCAGGGAAGCTCTTTATCTTTCTTTCTATTCTTAATGATAGCCTTGTTGCATAGAGTATTCTTGGCTGCACATTTCTTTCTTTGAATATATCATGCCACTCCTTTCTTGCCTGCAAAATTTCTACTAAAAAACAACAAAAAAAAACAAACAATGCTGAATGCCTTATGCGGTTTCCCTTGTATGTAACTGTTTTCTTTTGCTGCTTTAAAAATTCTCTATCACTACTTTTTGCCATTTTATTTGCTGTGTCTTGGTGTGGACCTCTTTGGGTTACTTTGTTGGGGGATCTCTGTGCATCCTGGATCTGGATTTCTGTTTCCTTTCCCAGATTCAGGAAGTTTTCAGCTATTATTTCTTCAAACAAATTTTCTGCCCCTTTTTCTCTCTCTTCTCCTTCTGGGATCCCTATAATGAGAATGTTATTATATTTGATGGTATCACTGAGGTCCCTTAGTCTATTTTCATTTTTTATTATTTCTTTTCTCTCTCCTCTTCAGCTTGATTATTTTCCATTACTCTGTCATCCATGTCATTGATCGGTTCTGCTTCCTCTAGCCTACTATTTATTCCTTCTAGTGTATTTTTAATTTCACTTACTGAGTTCTTCATCTCTGATTTGTTCTTTTTTATGTTTTCTATCTCTTTGTTAAGAGTGTTAAGAGTCTCACTGAGGTCCTCCACTCTTTCTTCAAGTCCAGTGACTATTTTTATGACCATTACTTTAAATTCTCTATCAGGCATATTACTTATCTCTGTTCTGTATAGCTCTTTTGCTGTGATTTTGTCCTGTTCTTTCACTCAGGACTTACTCCTCTGTCTCCTCATTTTGTCTAACTCTGTGCCTGTTTCTACATGCTAGAAAGGTCAGTTACATCTTCTGCTCTTGACAGGTCTTATAAAGAAGAGGTCCTGTAGCGTCCTGAAGTGAAATATCCTCTGTGTACCAGAACCTGATCCTTCAGGGGTATCTCCTATGTGTGCTGCATGCACACTTCTGTTGTGGCTGAGCCACTTTTGTCTTTAGTCCAGTTCTCTGCAATGGCTCTCTTTGCTTGTTGTGGGCAGGGTTTGGTCCCTGTGGTGTTAGTGGGTCAGTCTAGGGCCATGTTGGGCTTAAGTTGAGTCTTATCAAGTGTCTGTCAGATTTGCAGTAGCACTGAACTTCAGGACACAGTGGAAATGGGGAGAGAGGTGTCAGCAAGGTCCACTTAGGCAGGAGGGGACCTGCACCTCCTGGGGAATGAAGCAGGCAAGGTTGGAGGGGGTGTATATGCAGAAGCATGCATGGGCAGGATGCTCAGTGTTAGCAAGGTTTGCATGGATCTACTGTGGAGGGGAACCTGGAGCTGAGGCCTGGCTGGATGGAGTGTGTCCACAGAATGCTAGGGCTGGGCATGCTCTTATCAGGTTAGGTAGCAGGTATCATGTAATGCAGGCTCCCAAAGTTGTCATGTGTCTAGGCTATGGGTTGGGGGAGTGAAATGGTGCTCACCAGTTCCTTTGTTCCTGAAGAAATCTCCCAAGGATCCCTGCTCCCTCCAGCATATACTCTGACATTAGTAAATAAATCTCCCTCCCATACACTGCAGGAGTTTTTCAAACTGCTGCTTCTCTGCTGTATCTCAATAGGGCTTTTGGTTTTGCTGTCTCTTTAAGGGCGGGGATTCAATTTCCTCTCTGTTTGCCCTACTGGCTCTTGCAGGACCCTGATGATTTTTAATGTTCCAAGGTTTAAGCCCTGCTGATTTTAAGACCTCTTGAAATTCGGCCCCTCTGGTTTTCAAAGCCAGATCTCATGGGGATTCGTCTTTCCCATGTAGGATCTTTGGTGTGAGAATCTGTTTCTCTCCCCTTTCCATGCCTATGCCAGCGGGGTCTCGCCCTCCCATGGATGGTCCCATGGGTCTCCCTAGCTCCCAACTGTGTTTCCACACTTCCTACTCTCTTCAGTGTGGCCTCTTCTCTTCTCTACATTTAGTTATCAAGAGTCTGTCCTGCCAATCTTTGGGTCATTTTCTGATTTATTTACACTGATGTGGCTGTTATCTAGTTGTTTCCATGGGACCAGATGAGCTTAGGGTCCTCCTACTCTGCCATCTTCCCCGGAAGCTGTTGGTCTTCACCCGTTTTTGCTTTTCATTGAAACTGAACAATTCTCTTTACCAATTTGTCTAGCACAATATGTCATAGTAAATAAACAACTAAAAACATGATATCTGTTCACAGAATATACAGGATCTTGCCTAATAAAGTAATGGTAAAGAACTTTAATCAGAATTCTCCTTCAAGAGTAATCAGATTTCTTTAGAGAGTGTGGTGGTTAATTTGATATGTCAGCTTGGCTAGGTATGGCAACCAGTTTTGTGTCAAACATCAATGTAGATGTTGTGAAAATATTTTTAAGATGTGATTCATATTTAAATCAGTAGACTTTGAGGAAAGCACATTACCCTCCATAATGTAGATGGGCCTCATCCAAGCAGTTGAGGGTCTTAAAAAAAAAAGACTGTGGTTACCCTAATAGGAAGAAATTCTGGAATTCTGTCTTTAGAATGCTTTCAGACTCAAGATTGTTCACATTAACTCCTTTTAGGGCTTTCCAGCCCGCTATATGCCAATTCCCTAATCTCTCTCAGTCTCTCTGTAAACACACACACACACACACACACACACACACACACACACGTACATCCTATTGGTTCTGTTTTCTGGAGAACACTGACTAATATAGAGAGAAAGGAGAAAACTTGAGGCAGAGAAACCAAGAGATTTGTGAGATACTCTTCTATGCTCACTCACTCATGACTGCAAATCTCCATTCTGAAAGCAAAAGTTTATGCAACAGAAGCTCCTGGCTTCCTACTTAAACTCAATAGTTCCCTATAACCAAACTCTTCACCCTTCTTTCATGAAATAGGTTCCTGCTATCTTTCCTTCTCTTGTACTTCCACAGTCCTAAATCTCATCCAAAAAAGAAGGTACTAAGGTATTCACAATAATTTGGTACATCATCCAGAGTCATAAAAATAAAATTCAGAAATTCAATATATTAAAGTAAACTATTATTTTCTTTTTCTTTTATGCTTGAAAATAAAAACTGAGCTAATATTTGGGTCCTTGAGATATACTAATAAGTACTTTATAAACCTATTCTGAGAATAAATTTTTATATTAAAGGAAAGTAATTTCTCACCATTTATGAGTCTCTGTCAGTGAGTTTTCCTCTGCCTCTTGATCAACTTTAGCTGAAAATACAAAAAAAGAAAAAGAAATGAGATACATGATAGTTATACTATCTTAAGCAAAATATGATCCAAATAATGATATATATTTTTATTCATTATTAATTCTAATGCATTCCAGAAAGAGTTTATTTTAAATCTATAAATAAATATGATTAAACAGATTATAGTTCATTTTCATTAAGTTAATAATAGGTACCAACACACATAAGATATATAACGAATTACAAATTTAAAATTCTAAGTAATCTTTTTCTGAGTAATTTCTTTAAGTCATTAACCTGAGAAAACAAAACAGTAGTTAATTTAATATTCACAACAAATGTGTTTGTCAAGGATTTAAATGCTAATAACTAGTTAAAAATAATTCTCTCAAGCAAAGGTACAGAAACTAAGTCAAGAAACTCAATAGAAATGGTATGTGACCTTGACCAGTGCTCTCTGCACCAGACCACAAATGAACAGATCCAAAGGTTATTTCTACAGAGGTACAAGACACTAACATTTTCTACTAATTAAAAGTAGGGAGGAAATAGTATACTCATTTATTTGCTATCATTTTATTTATTTATTTATTTATTTATTCTATTATGTTAAGTTAATCACCATACATTACATCATTAGTTTTTGATGTAGTGATCCATGATTCATTGTTTGTGTATAACACCCAGTGCTCCATGCAGAACATGCCCTCCTTAATACCCATCACCAAGCTAACCCGTCCCCCCACCCCCTCCCCTCTAGAGCCCTCAGTTTGTTTCTCAGAGTCCATAGTCTCTCATGGTTCGTCTCCCCCTCCGATTTCCCCCCTTCATTTTTCCCTTCCTGCTATCTTCTTCTTCTTCTTTTTTTTTAATATATAATGTATTATTTGTTTCAGAGGTACAGGTCTGTGATTCAACAGTCTTACACAATTCACAGTGCTCACCATGGCACATACCCTCTCCAACGTCCATCACCCAGCCACCCCATCCCTTCCACCCCCCACCACTCCAGCAACCCTCAGTTTGTTTCCTGAGATTAAGAATTCCTCATATCAGTGAGGTCATATGATACATGTCTTTCTCTGATTGACTTATTTCGCACAGCATAATACCCTCCAGTTCTAGCCACGTCATTTTTGTTTAAAAATAAATGGTAGCCTGACACAGACTCAAAGATTAAATTTGAGAAAGCCATTATATCACTATTTGAAATGATTTAAAATAACATAAGAACTCCATCACATAAAATAGGTGTGGCAGTGACTTTTACATTTTTTGACCAGCAAGCATTCTAGGAATTTATGTATTACTCTACACACACAAACACACACACACACACACACACACACACACACACACACACACGTAACTGACACAAAAGTTTCAAAAATACTCTTACTTCATGCAATGCTCTCTCATATTTTTAGTCAATTCTATTAGATTTCAAAGTGTATTTGTGACCTACTAAATTGATTTCATGTTTCACCATTGGTTTGTCACACACACTTTGAAAATCACTGAGCAACAGGACAAAAAGTTAAAAAAAACTCAAAGAAAACCTAGAACTCGTAAAAGAAGAAGTTGCCTTTTTATAATCACTCTCTTTTAGGTCACACTTGTGACCATTTGGAGAAATGAAGAGACAAAGTGGAGTAGGGCAAGTTGATTATAAAAAATTGGAACTGTGCATGAAATCAAACCCATGGTCATTTGAGAATTGTCAAAGTGTCTCTATCACTACTTAAAACACAATAGTCCAGCTTGGGCTGGTTAATGTTTTACAACCTCAAGATAGTGTTTGTTCAAAGTCTGTATAGTATCTGCAAAGCCATAATCGAGGGTCACACTGCCACTCTTGGCCAGGACTGTCGAATTTAGCAGGGATCCTTTGAGCTGGGAGCAGAGAGTGCTGTTTTACCTTTTCCATTTTTGTACTTTAGATTGTTCACAAGAACTTACAGGTCAATTGTTAGCCATATTAAAAAACAGAATAAATGCTCCATGATTTTACTTTGGAAAGGCTCCAACATGAACATATTGTCTTATAAAATCTGCTCTGGGTTGCCTGGCTTGATAATGGTTTGCTTCAAGAAGCAATTCTAGAACTATACAAAGTATGTTTAAGGGAAAACAATGAAGCACCACAATGCATGCCATTTTCAAGAAGGACATTCTTCCAACTGGCCTCACGTGTATATTTTTTTCCTTTTTTAAAATACAGAGATTAAGACTGAGATCGGAAGAAAATTTCTGGATTACATTAGAAGAATCAAGTAAATGATTTACGAAATTTAAAACGCACTAGAATGAGATGCTAGAGATCTGTGTTCTGTTCCTGATTCTGCCACTAAAATTAGCTATGTAATTTTAGGCAAATAATCTGTTAACGTGTATAAACTATTTAGCATAGTGCCTCCAATAATTAGCAGAGACTAAATAAATGTTCTTTGAAAATGTTAAACTTTAAGCTCTTGAAATTTATAAAGTGATATAATATATAATTATCTTTAATTGAATACATCACCTGCTATTTTATTATGTTTCAATTTATATGCAGATAAAGAAAGCACATACTTACAGGCTTCTCAAAAAGTGGAAGCCCCTAAATTGTGGTGAGTGGAATGAAGTGAGTTTCATATGTTCATAATGATTCCTTTTGATGTGTACTAAAACAGCTTTTGCTTCACTGCATGAGCAAGTTTGGCTGAAAAAAACATTCTAATCCAATGTGGCAAAAGACTGGATCTTACCAAGGGAACTAAACATAAAAACAGACACTCTTCCCCAACCTAATAGCCATATTACAATCATAAAACCAAACTGGGATAGCAGAGAATACTTAAAAATGCTCTATTATCCATTATTTTTACATGATTTTGAAGCTAAGAGGATTTGTGTATTCAGAGTGTAATCAGCTTTGATAAACAGTCAAATGAGAGATCAAAGCAAGTGCATTAGAGTACACATTTCAACTCTTGATGTAGAGTCAACAATTCAATGAACTAGACAGATTTTCCTTTGTATGGCAATCTTAGAAACAAAACCTTTCTGAAAAGTTGGGGTGCAATTCAGTTTTCTGGGAACACTGAAATACCATTTTCCAACATGCTGCTTGTATAAACACTCCATCAACATTTTGCTACCATGATTCTTTTAAACACACTTATTATGTTAACTTAGTGACAAATGCAGGATTTGGTTTCTTTAGTTAATGAGGATGAACTCTACCAAAGTAAAATAAAATGTAATTAAGTTAGTGAAAAGTAAGATATCTTTTAGAAACAAAATAAGAATAACACTGCCACTCCTTTAGGGAGTATTCAAGCTAGTCACATGTAGAGACCAAAATCTTAGACTGTACTTTTTAGTCTGAGTAAAGGCTTCTGAAAGGCTGTGGCCATCTGTGTTATACACACAGCTTTTCAAGTAAAAGCTGAAGGTGACATGGCAATAAGATTATTTTCTATAAACCATGTCAACATCTTACTGCTAATTCTTTTATTCCCTGACCTACTTTTTCAAAAATATAAATATTGTTCTCAGGTCATTTCTAATGGCACAGAGGACTTTGCAACTAGTTCTGAATGCTGGTGTTACTTTTAGCAGCAGTTTCCTAACTGTCAATAAACTATTATAATAAAGTACGCAAAATTTGCTAGGTAAGACATATAAAAGTTTCCACTTTTCTATTTAAAGTAAGATGAATTTTCCCATTCTTTATAGTACATAGCTCATTTCTTTTTTGACCCATCAAATGAGGATGGTGGACTTCTAGTCGTTCATGATAACGGTAACTAGAGAAAAGTTTTAAAAAGCATTTGAAATAGACAAATAGGTCCGAGGTTTGGTGTGGAGTGATCTTCATGTTGTCATCCGATCATCCGAGGCTCCCTACCCCAGCTGCCCAGGGAGTCTGGACTACCTCTGACAGAGAAATTGCTGTGAATCCTAATGGACACCACTGTCCAAGGGCCTTCCTGGCCTCAGATCTCTGGGAACTGATTCTGCCGCATCACATATGAAAAAGCTACACTTCCTCGTCAAGGTTCTTACCGCTCAAACTCTTGTTTTCAGATCCCATCAGGGTCAGTGTTTGGGAGTAGAACGTGAAACTCAGTTAGGCAGACCTATGTATAAATTCTAGATCAGCCACGAAGTTGTGTTAGATTTTTATAACCTTACTAATCACGTTGATTTAATAACTTTTCTTTATCATTAAAACAGGGTAATAATTTCTTTTTCAATGAGTTTCCTAATTAAATAAGGTATAGCATAGGTAGTAATTGTTCTGTCTTTCTTTTCCTCTCCACATCACCATGACTATAAAAAGGGACTGGGATATGTTGCTTTCAAAAATGCAAAAATTTCTCCATTGTAGGATCACCAAACACTTCTTCTTAATGCTTCTACAGATAGAACCCAGATTCAGAATGAGACTTATATATTGTTAAAATAAGAGTACCTCCTTATAACAACATAAAGAAGTTATGGGCCAAGAAATATCATAGGAGACTCAAAAACCTTCACAAAAATCAAGGGATAACTCTGTATTTAATATCTTTTGTTTTTTATTTCTACTTAATCTGTGTATGTGTTGTGGTTTTCATAGCCCTATAATGGAGAACTCCCAAGCAGAGGCTAACAGTTTTTTGGGTTTTTTTAAAGATTTATTTACTTATTTATTTGAGGGAGAGAGAGGGAGAAGGAGGGAGCATGAGAGGGGGGAGGGTCAGAGGGAGAAGCAGACTCCCCGCTGAGCTGGGAGCCCGATACGGGACTCGATCCCGGGACTCCAGGATCATGACCTGAGCCAAAGGCAGTCGCTTAACCAACTGAGCCACCCAGGCACCCCAGAGGCTAACAGTTTTTCAGTCCTATCTTTGGAGGCACAGCAGTAAAAAATGAAATTGCTGTATGGAAGAGGACAATACCTTTTGTAGATTTAGGAAGAAACTACAGAAATCCAATTTTCAAAGGCTGCAATGTTCCTCTAGAGCATACATTTCTTACTCCATATCT